TTATGATTCCACTTTATGAGATTCCTAAAACTGGCTAATTCATTGAGATACAAGGTAGAATAGAGGTTACCAGGGCTTAGGAGGAGGAGGAATGGGCAGTTATTGTTTAATTGGCATAGTTTCCGTTTAGGATGATAAGAAAGTTCTGGAAATAGATAGTGGTGATGGTTATGCAACATTGTGAATGTACTTAATGCCACTGAACTGTACACTTAAAGTGGTAAATTTTATGCTGTTTATTTTACAATACAAAAAAAATTATGACTCAAAACATCAAAGAAATTACAGAAAAGAGACAAAAGTTTCCTTTGAATTATAAACTACACATGCTACCCCTCTCCCAACTCATCACTAATTGATAACTGCAGTTGAAGTAACAGGATTACAAATGCCAAGTGAATTTGAATCTGAAGAGCTGGACAGAAACTTAAACTGACCTCCCACTCAATCAGATGACAGATTCAAGACAATGTCTAAATAATGGAGCACCTTACATAATTTGAAAAGTGACTCAGGCTGATCCAAAATCTATCATTTATCTTTACTTACTGGCCTTAGTTCTGTCCATGAAGCCACATGGAATAAATCTAATTCTTCTTCAATAAAACAAGCACTGATCAGGGCACTTTGGCGGCTCATTTGGTTAAGTGTCCCACTTTTGGTTTCAGCTCAGGTCAAGATCTCATGCTTTCATGAATTCGGGCCCCATCCCCTACTTGGGATTCTCTCTGCCCCCTCTCTCTCTCTGCCCCTCCCCCACTTGCACTTTCTCAAAATAAATAAAAAACTAAAAATAAAAAAAAAAGCCGTGGTCATTTTTAAAGACAACTTTTATGTCCAACAGTATTTTCCACTAAGCTAGATATCCCCAGTCCCTTCAAGCATTCTATATGGTTTCCATAGCTTTATCCATTCTGAAAACTTCCCCTGAAATGTTTACTGGTTTAAAATTATTCACCCCCCCAAACATAAAATTAAATTAAATTAAAATAAAATAATTCACCCAAACTGTATATAAGCCAAATGTGACCTCTTCCTGGTTATTTTGATTACTGCAGCCTAATACTGTTAAGTTTTTGACATCTCCAACACACAATTTTATATATTAAATATAAAACTTTTAGTTTGGGCTTCATATCTTCCCAGTCTGTGGGGAAAACACTCTTATTATATAAGTAATAAATACCCATAGTAGGGAAATTAGAAAAAAAAAATAAGGGGAAAAATATTTGAAAATAAAATTAATTTTATCAAAAATAATTTTTAGACAGTATGGTTTACTTGACTTACGGTTTTGTGATGTCTTTTAAATTTTTTTGTTTTTAGAGAGAGCACAAGTGGAAGAGAGGGGCAAAGGGGGAAGGGGAGGGGAGAGACAGAGAAAGAGAGAGAGACAGAGAGAGAGACAGAGAGAGAGAGAGAGAGAGAGAGAGAGAGAATGAATCTTAACCAGCCTCCATGTTCAGTGCAGAGCCCACTGCAGGGCTTAATCCCTCGATCCTGGGATCACAACCTGAACTGAGATCAAGAGTTGGATGCTTAACCAACTGAGCCATCCAGGCATGCCATGATGTATCTTTCAATCAACAATTCTCACTCAACAATTTATCATGGATACTTCAACATGACAAAGTTCTATCTTCATCCCATTCTTAATAAAAAGCAGATACTTCATTTGTATCTGCCAAGTCATGACTCATTTTTAAACAGCTTTATTGAAATATAATTCACATACCATACCACACAATTTACCCATTTAAAATGTACAATTCAATGGTTTTTAGCATATTCACACATATATACAAACATCACTACAGTCGATTTTAGGACATTTCCATTACCTCAAAAAGAAACCCTGTACCCCTTAGCTATCATTCCTCATACCCCCATCTCTCACTCCAGTCCCAAGCAATCACTAATCTATTTCCAATCTCTACAGGTTTCTCTATTTTGGACATTCATATGAACACACTCACATATATGTGGCCTTTGTATCTAGCTTACTTCACTTACTATATGTTTTCAAATTTCGTCTATGATGTAGCATGTATCAGTATATTATTCTTTTTATAGCTGAAAAATATTCTATCGTATGTGTGTGCCACATGTGTTTATCCATTCATCCATTCAGGGACATTTGTTTTTTTTCCTACCTTTTGGCTATTACGAAGAATGCTGCCATGAACATTCTTATAGAAGTTTCTGTGTGCAAATGTGCTTTCATTTCTCATGGATATATGTACACTTAGGAGTGAAATTGCATATTTAATCACTTGAAGAAGTGATAGTTTTCCAAAGAGTTTGAATCATTTTTAGATTTCTACTATCAGTGTATGAGGGTTCCAATTTCTCCACATCCTCAACAATTGTTATTATCTGATTTTGTGATTCTAACCATCCTAGTGGGTGTGAAATTGTGTATCACTGTGATTTTGATTTTGACTTCTCTGATAATTAACAATGTCAGGCATATGTTCATGTGCTTATTAGCCATTTGTATATCTGCTTTGAAGGAATGTGCATTCACATTCTTTGCCCATTTATTAATTGCATTATTTGCCTTTTTATTATTGAGTTGTAAGTTCCTTATATATTCTAGATCCTGGGGCGCCTGGGTGGCGCAGTCGGTTAGGCGTCCGACTTCAGCCAGGTCACGATCTCGCGGTCCTCTCGTGGTCCGTGAGTTCGAGCCCCGCGTCAGGCTCTGGGCTGATGGCTTAGAGCCTGGAGCCTGTTTCCAATTCTGTGTCTCCCTCTCTCTCTGCCCCTCCCCCGTTCATGCTCTGTCTCTCTCTGTCCCAAAAATAAATAAACGTTGAAAAAAAAAAAATAAAAAAATAAAATAGTAAAAAAATATATATATATTCTAGATCCATGTGACATATGGACATATGATTTGAAATGTTTTCTCCTGGGGTGACTGGGTGGCTCAGTTGGTTAAGCATCTGACTTCAGCTCAGGTCATGATCTCTCAGTTCATGAGTTCAAGCCCCGCATCAGCCTCTGTGCTGACAGCTCAGAGCTCAGAGCATGGAGCTTACTTTGGATTCTGTGTCTCCTGCTCTCTCTGCCCCCACCCCTGCTTACGCGCTCTCTCTCTCTCTCTCAAAAATAAATGCACATTAAAAAAAAATGTTTTCTCCTATTCTATGGGTTTTCCACTTTCTTGATTATGTCCTTTCAAGTACACAATTTGGTAACTTTGATGAAGTCCAGTTTATTTTTTTCTTTTGTTGCCCATATTTTGTGTCATATCTAAGAATCTTGATGTTTAAGAACCTTTTCTATAATTTTTACAACAAACTCATTGATTTGTAATTTTTGAAATTAATCTTTTTTTCTATTTAATACTTTTCTCAAAAACTTTTTAATGTTCATTTATTTTCAAGAGAGAGACAGAGTATGAGCAGGAGAGGGGCAGAGACAGAGGGAGACACAGAATCCA